GATGTGTAGAGAGCAAATATTTTCTCCCATTCTGTAGGCTGTCTATTCACTCTAATGATAGTTTCCTTGGCCGTGCAAAAGCTTTTTAATTTGATCAGATCCCATTTATTTATTTTTGTTGCTGTGGTGATTGCTTTGGGGTTCTTCTTCAAGAATTCCTTGCCTAGGCCGATGTCTGAAAGGATCTTCCCAACATCTTCTTTTAGACAAGTACTTTTTAAAAGTGCACTGTCCTTTCCTTCTCTCTTCTTTTTCTTAAATTCTACCTGGAAGTTGAGAGCAAGTTTTGCTTCTTTATGCCTTCTGCCCTGATCACTGTGATCTTCCTCCAAGAAGTAATATTTAATTATCTGCAAACGTAAGTACTATACACTGTTGTTTCAACATTTTAAGCATCTCAAGCACAGAGACAAGATTCAACATTCATTGTTGTCTTCCAATGTACAAAGTGCAAAGTTAAGTACATGATAGACATCTATTGGTTCAATCATTCAAATAGGCTCACCGGCAACTCCCAGCAAAGCAAGAAAGATGCAGGTCTTCATGGTCACTCACTGGATCTGCACTTGGGAACAAGATGAAGGGTTACCATCCACCGTTATATATATATCCCCATATTTGTCATGGATACCCATGGCCACAGGTGTCAGAAAGGTGATTTCACTGGAAACACAGAAATTTAAAGTTAGAATTCAATTCTGTGATGAATGAAAGATAATTCAACACTAAATTTAAACGTTAGTGTTTGCTCACTTCCACAGAAGGTTATGGAAATGGAAGAAACAAACCCACCTGGTGGTGGGAACTGTTCCCCATAACGGGAACATAAGGTAAAGTAAGGTCGCAGGACAAGCTACAGGTGTCCTGATTCCCAGACAAAAGCCTTAGGTACTTGGTTGTCTCAACTGTGAACTTTTCTCCAAAGGACTATGTTGAACCCTGTGTCTTTGATGTTTAATACCACAGGCTCTTTTAGAATTATGTACTTTGTCTTATGGCAGGTCTGGTCTTGTAGATCCACATTAACTTTTCATTACCAGTAGGAAAATTTTGTTCCGCTGTGAAAAGAAAGTTTGTTTTTATTTGAAATTATAAAATATGAAAAGTAAAAAAATGATAAGTTACATTTACATAACTCTTACAGTATGTCAGGGATATTCTAAATTACTAAATTACTAAATTAACTCTTGTTAATTTAGTAATTCCCAAACAACCATACAAGATACCTGTCATAATCTTCACTTTACAAATGGGAAAACTAAGGCGCACAAATGTATAGGGAGGGAATTTGACCAAAATCACACGGCAAATATACGGCAGCATCAGGATTTCAGCCCAGGAAATCTGGTTTCAGAATTTGCGATCTTCACCACTATGCAACACTTCTCCTACTCAGGTCACCAAAATCTGGATACCAAGATACAACAGAATTCTTGGCCAATGATAGTACAACTGAAATTTATAGAATGCTTGCCATATGTCAGGCACCATGGAAGGGTCTTACATGCATGAAGTCATCCAATCCTCACAACACTTACAGTGTTGTGCCATAATTTTCACCATTTTAGAGACATGGAGGAGGAGGTTTAGAGAAGGCAAGCAGTTTTCTCAAAGTTTTATTGCTATTAAGAGGTCAATCCAGGGTTCAAACTCAAGCAGCCTCACTTCAGGGCCCATGTGCTCAACTGTGATGCCAAAAACCTAACGAGGCAGAATAGTCTGAACTCCACCAAACGAAGAGCTACCTCCAGGAAGTATTATGAACTCTGGGAAATCCAAGAAATGGGTTCCTGCAGCAGGAATTTTGAGAATTAATAGGGCAAGACAGAAATATCCAGTTAAATGAATCTCAATGAAAATTAACCCCTAGCTAGACATAGCCGGATTCTACCCTTATACAATTAATCTGAAATTTCCTACCAGGATGTATTTCTGTTTACACAAATTATCATCCCTGAAGCAGTTTTTCTTTTTTCTGTATATTTGAAATTTTGCTACTGTCAAGATAACTTACATGAAGGCAGAATTTTTCAACCTTGGCATTATTGGCATTCTGGACCAGTTAATTTTTGTGGTGGGTAACTGTCCTTTGTGTTGTAGAATGTTTATCAGCATCTAAACATTTAATAATGTTTATCTGGGGGTGATAATCTAGATTCAGTTGCAAATGTACAAAAACTTCCTGTGACAAAGAAAGGTAGCAGTCCTGCTTGGCTGGTGGGATGGTTCTCTAGTCACCTAAGCAGGGACGGGAGTGCAGGGAAAATGCCAAGTGATGGTTTGCAGACTTAGTTAATTACATACCACTCTCACATTTTTGCACATAAGCACTTAACACAGTGCCTATAATGTCATTATATTTTCATTTTTAAATAGACTTCTTTTTCTTCTTAATCTCTTCTTAAGCAATAACGTTGACATTTCATGTGTTGGTAGCTTTATATCTAACACACATTCAAATGAACACACATGCTTTTCACCTAAAAATGGTCATCTGTGTGCTATCTAAAATTATGTTGAAAACTACTAATGATGACCCTACCACACTTTGGGAAACATGGTTTCTTGTAGATGTTTGGGAAAAGGGTGAAGAAAGCTGAGGGTCACAGTTGGCGGTGGCTGTGGTGGTTGCCTGTGAGTGGAAGGGGTACGGAGCAGAGCAGATTAGGGTGTAAAGTGAAAGTGAGTAGGAGAGTGTTCCCTGTGGGAGGGGCCAGGCAAATATGGAATCAGTATGAGGTATCTCTGTATATATGCACACGTCTTTGTCATTCACGTACAGGGGGTGAACAAATCTGAAAAAGACATTCTTTTATTCCCTGGGAGCTTGTGCCTGTAAGATACCCTGTACTTCTGGAACACTGTGAATCATACTCTGACATTTGACACTACAGTACTGAATTGAATCTTCCCAGATTTAATAAAGCATTCTTGTCTGTGCTTCATGTGTGCAAAACTTCTGTTCTCAGTGACATCAATGACTTTGCATTTATGATCAACACAGAACATGCTACAGTGTGTGTTTTGCAGGGGGGTCTTTTTTGTCACTCTCCTCTCATAATAAGGTCCATGAGCTATGGATATACCCCTATTCCTTTGGTCCAGGAGAGTGGATTGGTAACTATAGTCCTTTTCCTAACTTCTGTTAAAGTCATATCAAGATGGAGTCACTTGTGTCAAACCCAAAGAAAATAAAGTCAGGAGGTTAAATAAGGAGAGCCCTCATACACACATGCCCATTATTAGA